CATACATTGTGCTTTTTCTTTTTGCTGTTGTCATAATATAATTTCTGTTTCAATATACTAAACAACGGAATTTAGCAAGTGGAGGAGGTAAGCAGTGTCATGTTTTCATAAAACTCCAGTTAAATAGGCTGTAAGAATATAAGTTATGGACATGCCTGTCTTTGAAAATTCTGTTTTTTTCAGATGAAATTCTTGAAATCTTATATTATTTGGCTATTTAATTTCCATCCTTGTACCCATCTGAGTTTTAATAGTTGGACATATTAATGTACAATGAAAGTTTATGTAACAAAATATTTTTTCACAATCAGTAGTTTATATTTTTATTCAATACAGAATACATTTCAATTGACTTTGAAATTTAGTTGAATAATTACTTGTATATTTGATTGACTATTAATCTGTGCAATTATTCAGTGTATCTGTGTCTTGTATTAGTTGCACTCAACATCTGATGGTCAGTTGTCTTCCTTCAATTGAATTTAAGTTGTCTAGGGGTGGGTCTATGCCCAGACATTCCCTGCAATAAATCGAAAATTCACAAAAATTGACAACTGCGACAGGGAATAGAATGGCAAATGAAAACATGCATAAGAAATAAATGAACAATATGCAACATTAGAAGTATAACAAAAATAATTTATTGTGTAAAATGTGACAAATAAACTAGAAATAATAAAAATCTAGACTGAGGAATCATTTGAATTAGGATTTCCCCGCCGTCAAACACACTCAATACGTGTGAACTCAAAATGAACTAAAATGCCAGGGGTTAAACTGCGTAAAATTATTTCCGGTTTTTACAAATAGCGGATCAACAGTAATACAAGATCAAAAATAATTTACAAATTTACACAGTAAAACAAAAGTTCAAAAATCAGATCTCTATTTGTACGTTCATTGCCATCTTTGTCAAAATCAAAACCCTCAAAGTCCAAGTCGACGTCACTGTCACGTCAAACAAAATCTCTACTGCTTCATCCTGAAGTTTGTTGATGTCGTCGCACAAAATTTGCACCTTTAATCCACGAAATGTGCTGTCTGTCAGCTTGGCACTTTTAATTCATGTCTAATCACAACAAGTAACTTGTTTGATTTTGATCTGTGTATTTATACTGTTAGGTTGCCAACGGCATAAAAAGAATCCCAAAAATGATAATAAGTCAGATGGC